AGGACACGGCAGTGTGCACAGGATTACAGTCACATGGCAGCGGAAGGGAATACTCTCACTGGTTGCTTCTGGGGGTCATAAAGGGTCCAGCAGCAGGTGGAGGGTCCAAGCGGGCACAGGAGACTCCTGGATCAAGGGAAGTAGAGAGGGCAGGTCCTGGGCATCCAGCCACAGCTTGGAGTGCACACAGGCAGCAAGGCAGCAGGAGGGTCAGAGGACAAAGGGCAGGAGGATCTACAGAATGAAGGATGGAGGAGGGCAGAGATCTGGGGAGAGGTGGAGGTCCAGGGAGAGGTTGACATCTGTTGAGAGGTCTCTGCAGTCGTGGAGGTCCAGGGAGAGGCTGACTGACATCCAGGGAGAGGCTGACATCCAGGGAGAGGTGGAGGTCCAAGGACAGGTTGACATATGGGGAGAGGTGGAGGTCCAGGGAGAAGTTGACATCTGGGGAGAGGTGGAGGTCCAGGGACAGGTTGATATGTGGGGAGAGGTGGAGGTCCAGGGACAGGTTGATATGTGGGGAGAGGTGGAGGTCCAGGGACAGGTTGATATGTGGGGAGAGGTGGAGGTCCAATGATAGGTTGACATCTGGGGAGAGGTGGAGGACCAGGGTATCAGCGCAGCCCACAGCAGAAGGAAAAGGATGGGGAGCACTGGGAGGAGTTACCTAGGTCAGGAAAGGCAGAGGAGAAGATCCTGGAGGCCCAACCACCATCTCTGGTTTCAACAGGTTTTGGCAGCAGGAGGCTGTTGCAGAAAATGGCCTACAAAGGGGGGAAAAGGGAGTCCCAGTGTCCAGAAAGCAGCACAGATGATATGGAACTAAAAGTCCTTGAAGTTCTAAGCACCTTCTAATCTCCTAGTGGGGGCTCCAGTCTTGAGGTCCTTAGGGCCCATCTCTGGAGTAAACTCTGAATAGTCGGACTCTTATCTCTTTGTAGGGACAGACTTCTTTGGCCAGATTTTCTGGTGCCGAGGCATCCAGCATACAATGACTTCTGTGCTCCCTACTGAGAGGAGCCTCATCTCCAACCTCTGTGTGAGTTCAGGAACTCCCAGATCAATGATAGTGGTCAGATGGCATCTGTACACTCAGCCTGCACATCAGTTCTACATTACAGGGCATGTCACCTCCTCCCATGATACCAGCCAATCACTGGACCCCAGCATTGTCACATAGAGGGGGTGAGCTCTGACAGCACAGCACTAGGGAAGTGTATTCAGCGAGTGGTGGTGACAGGGTCTCTTTATTGAATTTCCCTCAAAACTGGGCTTGTGTTTTGTTTGCTTTTAAAGCCCGATGACGGGAAAACGTTCCAGAGAGTTCTACCTCCTCTATCCATCACATCCGGGATTGACCATAGGATAAAGGATCACAGAGCCCCAACATAACATGATGGAGCTTCTCTACTGACATCGCCATGATGGAGAGGAGAGAAAGTATGGACACCATACTGAACCTCACCCTGGAGATCGTCTACCTGCTGACCGGAGAGGTGAGGAGGATTCTGGGAGGTCACATGACATCACTCTGATCTCTACTAATAAAACACAGACCTGACCGGAGAGGTGAGGAGGATTCTGGGAGCTCACATGACATCACTGTTATCTCTATTAATAAAACACAGACCTGACCGGAGAGGTGAAGAGGATTCTGGGAGGTCACATGACATCACTGTTATCTCTATTAATAAAACAGACCTGACCGGAGAGGTGAGGAGGATTCTGGGAGGTCACATGACATCACACAGACCTGACCGGAGAGGTGAGGAGGATTCTGGGAGGTCACATGACATCACACAGACCTGACCGGAGAGGTGAGGGGGATTCTGGGAGGTCACATGACATCACACAGACCTGACCGGAGAGGTGAGGAGGATTCTGGGATGACATCACTCTTCTCTAACCCTGAGGAGGATATACCCATGTCAATCCTGGTTCCAGAAGGTGGTCATCACATTGTAGATGACTATATGGACCTGTGTCCAGCAGGTATCGACCATCCCCTCTGCACACCCAACACCATCTACGTGATATTACAGAGCCGGACTCCGGGGGTGAATTGTTAGCTCTATCTGAATGGTGTTTCTTTTCCTGCATGTATTGGGGGGGGTGCTCACTTTTTGGGGTGCCCACTATTATACATTCTGGTGGGACAGTCACCATCCACCTCGGGGACCTCCTCCTGCTAAACACATGATAACATTCTGCTGAGCCTTTACTCTTCAGTGGAGAAGGAGATTTCAGAGCCGTTATGGAGGAGGGTTGTCGAGTTTGAGGTCCATATTCATCAATGTCTTCCCTTTTGTAGGATTATGTTGTGGTGAAGAAGAGTTCTGTTGAGGTTCCCCGACCTTCGTCCCTACAACTCAAGCAGGAGATTCAGGAGCTGGCTAACCGGATCATCGAGCTGCTGACAGGAGAGGTGAGCAGTGCCGGGAATTCTGGGACATTCTCCAGTAACATACAAGGGAAGTGTCTGGATGGGGACTGTATCATTGGGTGTGTCAGGTTCCTATAAGTTGTCTATCCCTCTACTCAGGTGTGTATGTACATTGAAAAGCAGAAGAACCTGGGCGGGAGCACCACCACTGATGACCATCATCTGGTTCCACCACTTGGTAAGAGAAGTCTTGTTCATGAGTAGTAGTTGATGACGTTTGTAGACAGTCGCTGGGGAGAGCTGGGGATGAAATAATTGGCCATTATGGGGAGTCTGTGCACAGTGTTAATGGCTTCTTATCTGTTGGGTGACACAGTGGGGTTTATTTACTAAAGCTGGAGAGTCCAAAATCAGACTCCCTTCTGCACAGAAACCAATCAGCTTCTAACCTCAGCTTGTTCAATGAAGCTTTGGCAATGAAACCTGGAAGCTGATTGGTTTCTATGCAGAAGGGAGTCTGATTTTGGACTCTCCAGCTTTAGTAAATAAACCCCCGTGGGTCTATCGAAGGTGGGGGGGTCCCCAGGAGCCTAGCAGGAACTCAACCAGTTCCTCAGTCTAGCCTTTTCCACATGGGACCATACAGTGAGGTGTTACCTTTACAGAGTTGGTGTGCTATCTGAACCCATCAGTGATATCAATTTTATATTTGCATCTCACCATCATCTATATATGACTCGGTTGGACATCCCTTTCCAAAGCCATGGTCATTAATATGGCAAAGGCCCGTCTTGAGGCTCTAACATCCTCCACTGATCTGGGACGGCTTTCCACAAGAATGGCCATGGTTTTGGAGGGTGTCTGGGAATTTGTGCCATTTGTGAGGTCAGGTACTGATATTGGATGAGAAGACCTGGCTCACCATTGGGGTTCCAATTCATCCTAGAGGTGTTCAGTAGGGTTGAGGTCAGAGCTCTGTGCAGGACACTGGAGTTCTTCCACCCCAAACTGGCCATCCATGTCTTTATAGAGCTGGCATTGTGCACAGTCATGCTGAAACTGACAAGAGCCTCTCCAAAACTGGTGCTACAAGGCTGAAAGTGCAGGGGCAGGCTAGAACTTGTTGTCCAAAAGAACATTTGTGAGGTCAGGTACTGATGTTGGATGAGAAGACCTGGCTCACCATCGGCGTTCTAATTCATCCCAGAGGTGTTCAGTAGGTGGAGATCAGGGCTCTGTACAGGACACGGGAGTTTCTCCACACCAAGCTGGTCATCCATGTCTTTATGGAGCCGGCTTTGTACACAGGGGACAGTCATGGGGGAACAGAAAAGGGTCTTTACCAAACTGTGACCACAAGGCTGGAGGAGCACAATTGTCTCCAATGTCCTTGTATGGTGGAGGATTACCAGGACCCCTCACTGGGGACAACTGACCTCCATTATCTGGAGGAGAGTCACATAAATTTGGCCATAAAGTGTATCTGTCAGATCTGCATCATCATCTGCCCTTCAACTAGCCATGAGATCACATTGGATATCTGGGATGAGTCCATACTTAACACAGCCCTCACGGGTTCTGTAGGTGGGGCCATAGTGCATAATCCCCACACCTGCTGCAACCAAAGCAAAACGCATCTATGGACAGCTTGGTATGCACAGTCACTTGGTAAGGTGCCCTTCCCCCCCACCCTACCAATTAGTGGGAGATGACCCAGTATAAGGGGTTCTGCAGGAACCCTACATTTGAAAGCTGTAAGTGCCCCTCCCCCACAGTACACCGACAGCATCTGTATCCCAGAAACCCTCTAAAGATTACATATCAGCTTTCCACCTCCATCCTGATGATGATGATGGTGGACGCTGGTGAGACCCATAACAAGGCTTGCTTTCTTTCCACAGACATCCAGAATGTTCCTCCACTGGAGAGTCCTCCGAGCACATTAAAGGAAGAACCCCGGGGCCCTAAGGCAGAGACTCCAAGAGGCTCCAACACCGACATCTCTGCAGATCAGACAATAAACGCACCAACTGTGATCAAGGAGGAATTTGGATCTTCTGAAAGAGGGCGCCTCCGGCATGACAACCCCCCGGTACATACTGATCCAACAACTTACCTACCTACTCAAGTGGCATGTGAAGGTCGTTTTCAAGATGGCACCCTCCCACCCCCCTCAACTCATTCAGAACATTTGTATCTTGAGGAACCCAGCTTGCGGAACCAAAGTCCTCCTGCCTTCACCGACGTTCGTCTGCCCGTTTACCACTCTCAGTTTTTTACCTCCCTGTATTAAAGAGGAACCACAGTCAGTGGAGGATGAAAATCTCCATCAGAGTGATGCATTTCTGTCTACACACCACGAGGAGGAATATTCTTTAGTAACTGTGAAGGAAGAGGAGGACATGGCACAGGATGCAGCAGACTGTTCCTTACACTCAGATCCTGTACAGTACACTCCAATTATCGTCAAGGAGGAGCCATTCTCCAGCGAGGAGGATGATATTTACACATCGGCCCAACGCCCCTCTAATGAGGAGACCGATTCTTGTGAAGAAGACACCATGGACACCTGTCGTTCTTCAGCTCCCCCTCACGGCATGTATGCGCCTTTCCCCAGGACGAGGGAGGTTGGTGAACGTCTCATCAGACATCACGCTCCATGTGACGCAAACCTCAGAACTCAGACTCATGTGGAAGGGCTGACCTTCAGGTGCCACGAGTGCAGCGATTATTTCACCAGTAAACGAGATTTGGATGACCACCATACTGTCCACAAGAGCAAGAAGCCACATGTATGTTCACATTGCGGGAAGAGCTTCTCGTACCAGTCACAGCTCCTCATCCACGAGAGGACCCACACTGGGGAGAAACCTTTTGCTTGTGCTGACTGTGGCAAATGCTTCAACCAGTACGTCCACCTGGCCATCCACCAGATGAGCCATACCGGAGAGAAGCCCTTCGCCTGCACAGAGTGTGGAAAAAGCTTCAACCGAAAGACTACGCTCACCATCCACCAGCGAGTCCACACTGGTGAGAAACCCTTCTACTGCTCCGACTGTGGCAAATACTTCAGCACCAGCTCCAACCTCATCAAACACCAGCGAGTCCACACCGGGGAGAAGCCATACTCCTGTCCTGACTGCGGGGAGCTCTTCGTCCACTACACCCAGCTTATTCGCCACCAGGCCAGTCATGCTGCCCTGGACAAGCAGTTCTCCTGCTCAGAGTGTGGGAAGTGCTTCACTCAGAAGTCACAGTACATCAGACACAAGAAAGAGCACCAGGGAGATGGAAGAAATTTCCAGTGTACAGAGTGTGGCTGTGGCTTCAAGCAGCACAGACACCTCCTGGCCCATCAGTCCACCCACAATGGGCAGGAGGCGTTTGACTCTGCAGTGTATGAAAGGTTGTGATTGCCACCCCAGCCTTACTACAGACAACCTGATCCACTTACAGCAAGAGCTTCATCTTTTTCTCCAACCTACGAGGGTTCACTTCAAAGAGAAACTTTACTGGTGTGTAGACAAGGGGCTCCCAGCAGGCTGGACAATGGGCAAACCATAGCAGAGAGGAGCCATCTTCCTGCCACCATCCCAGAGAGAACCTTCTCCTGCTACAACCACACCAAGAGCTCCACCTTTTCCAACCTATCAGTGTCCACCTCAATGAGAGACTTTACTGGTGTGCCGAGGATGGACTGGTGTATACATGGGGTTCCCAGCAGGCTGGACAATGGGCAACCCATAGGAGAGAGGAGCCATCTTCTTGCCACCATCCCAGAGAGAGCCTTCTCCTGCTACAACCACACCAAGAACTACGGCTTCTCCAACAGGACTTTACTGATGCATTGGAGAAGGTGGGCTGGACAATGGGCAACCCATAGCAGAGCGGAGCCATCTTCCTACCACCATCCCAAAGAGAGAACCTTCTCCTTCTACAACCACACCAAGGGCTCCACCTTTTCCAACTTACGAGTGTCCACCTCAAAGAAAGACTTTACTGGTGTGTCAGGGATGGACTGGCGTATACATGGGGCTCCCAGCAGGCTGGACACTGGGCAACCCATAGCAGAGAGGAACCATCTTCCTGCCACCATCCCAGAGAGAACCTTCTCCTGCTACAACCACACCAAGAGCTCCACCTTTTCCAACCTACGAGTGTCCACCTCAATGAGAGACTTTACTGGTGTGTCAGGGATGGACTGTATATACAAGGGGCTCCCAGCAGGCTGGATACTGGGCAACCCATAGCAGACAGGAACCATCTTCCTGCCTCCTTTCTTCTGCAAGGCTTACATCAAAAGATTCAGCTTCTCCAGTCTATGAGTGTCCACCCAGAAGAAGGACTTTAGAGATGTGTCAGGGATGGACTGGTGTATACATGATACAACCAGCAGGCTGGTAGTGAACAAACCATAGCAGAGCGGAGCCATCTTCCTACCACCATCCCAAAGAGAGAACCTTCTCCTTCTACAACCACACCAAGAGCTCCACCTTTTCCAACTTACGAGTGTCCACCTCAAAGAAAGACTTTACTGGTGTGTCAGGGATGGACTGGCGTATACATGGGGCTCCCAGCAGGCTGGACACTGGGCAACCCATAGCAGAGAGGAACCATCTTCCTGCCACCATCCCAGAGAGAACCTTCTCCTGCTACAACCACACCAAGAGCTCCACCTTTTCCAACCTACGAGTGTCCACCTCAATGAGAGACTTTACTGGTGTGTCAGGGATGGACTGTATATACAAGGGGCTCCCAGCAGGCTGGATACTGGGCAACCCATAGCAGACAGGAACCATCTTCCTGCCTCCTTTCTTCTGCAAGGCTTACATCAAAAGATTCAGCTTCTCCAGTCTATGAGTGTCCACCCAGAAGAAGGACTTTAGAGATGTGTCAGGGATGGACTGGTGTATACATGATACAACCAGCAGGCTGGTAGTGAACAAACCATAGCAGAGCGGAGCCATCTTCCTACCACCATCCCAAAGAGAGAACCTTCTCCTTCTACAACCACACCAAGAGCTCCACCTTTTCCAACTTACGAGTGTCCACCTCAAAGAAAGACTTTACTGGTGTGTCAGGGATGGACTGGCGTATACATGGGGCTCCCAGCAGGCTGGACACTGGGCAACCCATAGCAGAGAGGAGCCATCTTCCTGCCACCATCCAGGAGAGAGAACCTTCTCCTTCTACAACCACACCAAGAATTATGGCTTCTCCAACCTATGAGTGTCCACCCAGAAGAAGGACTTTACTGATGCATTGGAGAAGGTGGGCTGGACAGTGGGCAACCCATAGCAGAGAGGAAGCATCTTCCTGCCACCATCCAGGAGAGAGAACCTTCTCCTTCTACAACCACACCAAGAGCTCCACCTTTTCCAACTTATGAGTGTCCACCTCAAAGAGAGACTTTACTGGTGTGTCAGGGATGGACTGTGTATACAAGGGGCTCCCAGCAGGCTGGACAAAAGCCAACCTAAAGCAGAGAGGAGCCATCTTCCTGCCACCATCCCAGAGAGAACCTTCTCCTGCTACAACCACACCAAGAGCTCCACCTTTTCCAACCTACAAGTGTCCACCTCAAAGAGAAACTTTACTTGTGTGTCAGGGATGGACTGGTGTATACAAGGGGCTTCCACCAGGCTGGACACTGGGCAACCAATAGCAGACAGGAACCATCTTCCTGCCTCCTTTCTCCTGCAAGGCTTACATCAAAAGATTCAGCTTCTCCAGTCTACGAGTGTCCACCCAGAAGAAGGACTTTACAGATGTGCCAGGGATGGAATGGTGTATACATGGTGCTCCCAGCAGGCTGGTAGTGAACAAACCATAGCAGAGAGGAGCCATCTTCCTGTCACCATCAAGGAGAGAGAACCTTCTCCTTCTACAGCCACACCAAGAGCTCCACCTTTTCCAACCTACGAGTGTCCACCCAGAAGGAGGACTTTGCTGATGCATTGGAGAAGGTGGGCTGGACAATGGGAAACCCATAGCAGAGAGGATTCATCTTCCTGCCACCATCTAGGAGAGAGAACCTTCTCCAACCTCACCAAACGCTCCACCTTCTCCAACCTACGAGTGTCCACCTCAAAGAGAGACTTTGCTGGTGTGCCGAGGATGGACTGGTGTATACAAGGGGTTCCCAGCAGGCTAGACACTGGGCAACCCATAGCAGAGAGGAGCCATCTTCCTGCCACCATCCAGGAGAGAGAACCTTCTCCTTCTACAACCACACCAAGAACTACGGCTTCTCCAACCTACGAGTGTCCACCCAGAAGAAGGTATTTACTGATGCGTTGGAGAAGGCGGGCTGGACACTGGGTGGAGCCATCTTATTGCTCTGTCTTTCTGAAAAACACCTTGAGAGCTCCCAGCCAATAGGATTCTGCAGAATTGGGAGGTGCCCGGAGGCTCAGGGTGGGGGAGGGGCATTTCAGGGTGGATTTTTCTATTGGTAGAATATGAATACATTTACAAAGTGTTACCAAAGGTCCTTTTTTGATATAAAGTAATAAACATGTTATACTTACCTGACCTGTGTGGTGGCTTTGCACAGAGTGGCCCTGAACCTCCTCTTCTGGGGTCCCCCGCCAGAGATATTGGCTCCTTCTCTACTTGTGGGGGCACACAGTACATGCTCGCTCCTGAGCTGTGTGTAGCTATGGAGCCGTGCTCCCCAGACACACACACAGCAGGGCTTGGCCCTGCCTCCCACTCCCTCACTGCATTTGATTGACAGCAGCAGGAGCCAATGACTGAGTCCTTGTGTGAAGAGAGGAGAGAAGAATGCAGCCAACCACAGCGTGGGATCTCTTCTCCACACAGGGAAGGGAGGACAGAAAGACAACTGAATGCAGAGAATGTAGGGAATTCTGGGAATACGGGGAGTGCAGAGAATACAAGGAATGTAGGGAATGCTGGGAATATGGGGAATGTAAGGAATATGGGGAATGCTGGGAATATTGGTAATGTAGGGAATTCTGGGAATATTGGGAATGTAATGAATATGAAGAATGTAGGGAATGCTGGGAATATGAGGAATACTGGGAATATGAGGAATGCTGGGTATATTGGGAATGTAAGGAATATGGGGAATGCTGGGAATATGGGGAATGTAAGAAATATGGAGAATGCTGGGAATAGGGAGAATGTAAGGAATAGGGAGAATGTAAGGAATATGGAGAATGCTGGGAAAATGGAGAATGTAAGGAATATGGAGAATGCTGGGAATATGGAGAATGTAAGGAAAATGGAGAATGCTGGGAATATGGAGAATGTAAGGAATATGGGGAATGTAAGGAATATGGGGAATGTAAGGAATATAGGGAATGCTTGGAATATTGGTAATGTAGGGAATTCTGGGAATATTGGGAATGTAATGAATATGGAGAATGTAGGGAATGCTGGGAATATGAGGAATACTGGGAATATGAGGAATGCTGGGTATATTGGGAATGTAAGGAATATGGGGAATGTAAGGAATATGGAGAATGCTGGGAATATGGAGAATGTAAGGCATATGGAGAATGCTGGGAATAGGGAGAATGTAAGGAATATGGGGAATGTAAGAAATATGGAGAATGCTGGGAAAATGGAGAATGTAAGGAATATGGAGAATGTAAGGAAAATGGGGAATGTAAGGAATATGGGGAATGTAAGGAATATGGAGAATGCAAGGAATATGGGGAATGCTGGGAATATGGATAATGTAAGGAATATGGAGAATGCTGGGAATATGGAGAATGTAAGGAATGCTGGGAATATGGGGAATGTAAGGAATATGGGGAATGCTGGGAATATTGGTAATGTAGGGAATTCTGGGAATATTGGGAATGTAATGAATATGAAGAATGTAGGGAATGCTGGGAATATGAGGAATACTGGGAATATGAGGAATGCTGGGTATATTGGGAATGTAAGGAATATGGGGAATGCTGGGAATATGGGGAATGTAAGAAATATGGAGAATGCTGGGAATAGGGAGAATGTAAGGAATAGGGAGAATGTAAGGAATATGGAGAATGCTGGGAAAATGGAGAATGTAAGGAATATGGAGAATGCTGGGAATATGGAGAATGTAAGGAAAATGGAGAATGCTGGGAATATGGAGAATGTAAGGAATATGGGGAATGTAAGGAATATGGGGAATGTAAGGAATATAGGGAATGCTGGGAATATTGGTAATGTAGGGAATTCTGGGAATATTGGGAATGTAATGAATATGGAGAATGTAGGGAATGCTGGGAATATGAGGAATACTGGGAATATGAGGAATGCTGGGTATATTGGGAATGTAAGGAATATGGGGAATGTAAGGAATATGGAGAATGCTGGGAATATGGAGAATGTAAGGCATATGGAGAATGCTGGGAATAGGGAGAATGTAAGGAATATGGGGAATGTAAGAAATATGGAGAATGCTGGGAAAATGGAGAATGTAAGGAATATGGAGAATGTAAGGAAAATGGGGAATGTAAGGAATATGGACAATGTAAGGAATATGGGGAATGTAAGGAATATGGAGAATGCAAGGAATATGGGGAATGCTGGGAATATGGATAATGTAAGGAATATGGAGAATGTAAGGAATGCTGGGAATATGGGGAATGCTGGGAATATTGGGAATGTTAGGAATATGGGGAATGTAAGGAATATGCAGAATGTAAGGAATGCTGGGAATACAGGGAGTGCAGAGAATATGGGGAATACGGGGAATGTAGGGAATACATTGGGATGAAAAATGTTTTGGCTTTAGAACCACTTGATTATTTCGGGGTCACTCCACCCAGAAGTGATATTTGGTGTCTCATGGCTGCTGGAGGGTTGAGGCTTCTCCACCGTCTCCAACCAACGAGTGTCCACCCAGAAGAGAGACTTTACTGGTGTGTCAGGGATGGACTGGTGTATACAAGGGGCTCCCAGTAGGCTGGACACTGGACAACCCATAGCAGAGAGGAGTCATCTTCCCACCACCACCATCCCAGGGAGAGCTCCAGCTTCTCCAGCCTACGAGTGTCCACCCAGAAGAGAGACTTTCCTGGTGTGTCAGGGATGGACTGGTGTATACAAGGGGCTCCCAGCAGACTGGACAATGGACAACCCATAGCAGAGAAGAGCCATCTTCCTGCCATCATCCCAGACAGAACCTTCTTCTACAACCACAAGAGCTCCACCTTCTCCAACCTACGAGTGTCCACCCAGAAGAGGAGCTGGAGATGGAAGGCAGGACACTGGGTGGAGCCATCTTTCTCCTCTGAGGACAGGCCCTGCTTCCAGCCAATAGGATTCTGCATAATTGAGAGGGGAGGAGCATTTCAGGGTGAACGTTTTGTTTGGTAGAGTGTAAATAAATGTAATGCTTAAAGGGCGACTCCACCCAGAAGGGATATTTCAGTGTTTGGTGATGGCGGGCTCCTCGGTGTGTTGGGGGTTCCGTCTCGGGGCCTCCGCACCCCCTGGGGGTTCCGACCGCAATATTGTTTATTATATATGGAATGGAGCAGGAGGAGCTGGAACAGAGGTGGGAGGGGAGATTCCATGAGGGGAGGAGACAGCATACAGGTGGGTGGGGGATATATGGAGGTGGGAGTGGACAGACCATGAGAGGGCAGGAAAACACAGACCATGGGGGTGGGAACACACAGAGGTGGGAGGGGACAGCCCATGGGAGGCGGGGACACAGGCGGCTTCTGTAGAGGGGGAGAATGACATCGGGGCTCTTCCTATATTCAGGGGTGGAGTCATCAGTTATCCAGGCTCCTCCCCCTACAATCATGGGTGGAGTCATCAGTACTCTGGGCTTCTCCCACTATAATTTGGGTCAGTCATCAGTTCTCCAGGCTCCTCCTCTCACATTTAGGGGTGTAGTCATCAGTGCTCTTGGCTCCCCCTCCTATCGTTTGGGGCGGAGTCAGTATTGTTACTGACTCCGCCCCAGTATTCATACAGTAACAATAAAGTTAGTTGACCCGATGACGTCACGCTATCCCGGAAGTTCGGGTGTAACGCAATCACAGCGCTGATTCCGCTGGAACGCAGAACCCGGAAGAGGCGGGATTCCCTTTCTCTCTTCTGGAAGACGTTTGTGTACGGACGGTACTGTGCAGGTCAGTGAGAGGAGGGGGAGGGGGGTGAGCTGGACCATCCCATCCCAGGGAGAGGGATGACCTGGACCATCTCGGGGGGAGGGAAGGAGAACTGGACCATACCATCCCGGGGGGGAGGGTAGGGATTAGCTGGACCATACCATCCCGGGGGGAGGGGAGGAGAACAGGACAATACCATCCCAGGGGGAGGGGAGGGATGAGCTAGGCCATCCCAGGAGGAGGGGAGGAGAACTGGACCATCCCATCCCAGGGAGCGGGGAGGGATGAGCTGGAGCATACCATCCCAGGGAGAGGGGAGGGATGAGCTGGACCATCCCAGGGGGAGGGAGGAGCTGAACTATCCCATCCCAGGGGGAGGGGAGGGATGAGAGCTGGACCATCCCAGTGGGAGGGGAGAAGGAGAACTGGACCATCCCAGGGGAGGGATGAGCTGGACCATCCCAGGGGAGGGGAGGAATGAGCTGGACCATCCCAGGGGGAGGGGAGGGATGAGCTGGACCATACCATCCCAGGGGGAGGGGAGGGATGAGCTGAACCATCCCAGGGGAGGGGAGGGATGAGCTGGACCATCCCAGCTGGAGGGATGAGCTAGACCATACCATCCCAGGTGGAGGGGAGAAGGAGAACTAGACCATCCCATCCCAGGGGGAGGGGAGAAGAACTGGAACATCCCATCCCAGGGGAGGGATGAGCTGGACCATCCCAGGGGAGGGGAGGGATGAGCTGGACCATCCCAGGGGGGGAGGGGAGGGATGAGCTGGACCATACCATCCCAGGGTGAGGGGAGGAAAACTGGACCATACCATCCCAGGGGGAGGGGAGGGATTAGCTGGACCATACCATCCCAGGGGGAGGGGAGGGATTAGCTGGACCATGCCATCCCTAGGGGAGGAGAACTGGACCATACCATCCCAGGGGGAGGGGAGGGTTGAGCTGGACCATACCATCCCAGGGGGAGGGGAGGGATGAGCTGGACCATACCATCCCAGGGGGAGAAGGTGAGCTGGATCATACCATCTCAGGGGGAGGAGAGGAGGTCAGCTGGACCATATCATCCCAGGGGGAGGGATGAGTTGGATCATACCATCCCAGGGGGAGAAGGTGAGTTGGACCATACCATCCCTGGGGGAGGGGAGACAGTGAGTTGGACCATACCATCCCAGGGGGAGGGATGAGTTGGACCATACCATCACAGGGCGAGGGGAGAAGGTCAGCTGGGCCATACCTTCCGAGGGGAAGGGGAGGGATGAGCTTGGACTGTAACACTCCTGGATGGGGGACATTGTTAGGTGTATGGGGGGTTGGGGTCAGTTCAGGAAACATTTAGCCTTTCTCCTTTGTATAGATGACCCCAGTCTGACCTCGCATCACCTGACCCCAGCCAGACTGGGAGGAGCCCTAATTTATGTGACCTCCGACCCCGCCATAAGACTCTGGGGGTGTACAGACACTGGGGGAGCCAAACTGACACCAATAATCACCATACTTGGACCTCACCAACCTAACCCCTCCCCCATACACAGCATTGCCACCTCCCCCTATACAGTAAGGCTACCAGATTTTTAAAATAAACCGGGAGACACCCTCCTGACCACACCTGCCGTGCGGCACCTGGTGTGGTAGAATTGGATGACAGATGACAGGAGTGCGCAATGCGACCCCCCAGTACAGACTTCTCCCCTCCCCCCAATACGGACCACAGATCCCCCCCGGGTGCAGACTTCTCCCCTCCCTCCAATACAGACCATAAACCACCCAATACAGATCCCCCTTCCCCCCAGAGCTCAGATAGGGTGTTATGGACAGTAAGGGGGAGGTCCTCAGGGAAAGTCATGTGACAGTGTAGGTAATATCGGGGGAGGGGCTCAGTGGGAAGCCGATATTTCTGAGCCCTGAAGAATCCGGGGACTGCAGTGCAGAAATGAACAAAAAAACATGAGGCTGTCAGTGTTGGGGCCCACAGAGATGCTGGTGCTCCTCACTACCGCCACCCTGCACTGCACATCAGGGGGGCCGGACTCCAGGGATGCTTATTTCTCTGGGGACACACCTCTAAATGGGGACTCCAGGAAACAGGAACCAATGGTAACCATACACAGCACAGCCCCTCCTCCACCCCAGACCTATATATGGAGGATGTCATGTACCTGTCTGGTCATGTGACGGTTCAGCTCCTCCCCTTGTACCTGCATATGACAGAATGAAATCCTTTCATTATGGGAGGCTCCTTTTTTTCTGCTTCTTTCAGGTTTCTGGATGATGACGGCTCCAGCTGGGTTGTCCAATACTCCGATGTCTCCTCCAACCAAAGACCAGAGTGATGTCAGGTCCACCATAACCCCGCCCACAAGCAGAACCAATCCCCAAGGGGCACCTGAGGATAAAGCCATGCTCTTATCCAATATATTGAATGAGCAAGTAGAGGAGCCATTCTCCTGGCTGACCCACATGGCCATCACTGCCAGCCATGGTCATCTAGACCGGGATTTAAAGGAGGAGACCACAGACTGCCCCTCAGACCACTCCCTTCTGTCATCCACTCAGACACATTCTTATAAAGAGGACCTGTCTCCCCAGCACACGGACAGGTCCCCCCCTAGTGATGGTACATGTGGAGGAGACCTCCCACCCAGAGCTCAGACACAACTTCTCTCAGATTACATGAAGCAGGACCAAGATGATTTCACCAACTTAGAGATTGGAGAGCTGCCTAAAATGAAGGAGGAGTCCGAGAGTGTAACACAGGATCTATCATCTTCTCATGTTAAGGTGGAGCCCCTCCCATGGGAAGATGATGCCTTCACGGATCTCCCACGGTGCCCTTCCTCTCACATTAAGGAGGAGACCCCTTCATGTTACATCAGTTATCAGCAGACCCGGGTGGATATTAAAGCAGAGCCCTGCTTGGATAAAGAAGAAGGTCCTACAGACAGTTCCACCCTTGTCTACTTGAAGGAGGAGCTGATGGATGAGGAGTACTCGGTAGATGAGGCCACACCTGACTCAGGAGTGCTGCCCTATAATGACGATGAGAAGTCGCTGTCATGCACCGTGTAGTAAATTGTTCCACCACAGATCACATTTCCTCCTCCACCAGAAGGCGCACTCGGGGCTGAGGCCGTTCTCCTGCCACTACTGCCGGAAGAGCTTCATGAGGAAGGACCAATGCCTCATCCACCAGAGGACTCACACCGGGGAGAGGCCGTACTCCTGCTCCTACTGTGATAAGCGTTTCTTCCAGAGGTCACACGTGCCGGTTCATGAAAGGACCCACACCGGGGAGAGGCCCTTCGCCTGCGTCTTCTGTGGTAAGCGGTTTTCCCAGAAGGCCCGGCTGCAGATCCATGATAAGTACCCACACCGACAACCAAACGCTTCTCCTGCTCCTTCTGCGGGAAGTGCTTTCTGCAGCGGGAACAGTGTGAGGCGCACCAGAGGACCCACCTGGGGGAGAAGCCGTACCCATGCTGCTACTGCCACAAAGGCTTCAGCCAGAAGGCCCAGCTAGTCATCCATGAGAGGGTCCACACAGGGGAAAAGCCCATCTCCTGCCCTGACTGCGGCAAGTGCTTCTCTCAGAAGTCCAAACTCATCACCCACCAGAGGATTCACACGGGGGAGAAGCCATACGCCTGTGTGCAGTGCGACAAATGCTTCAACACTCAGACCAGCCTGGTACTGCACTGCCGGGGCCACACCGGGGAGAGGCCGTACCAGTGCACTGAGTGCAGCAAGTGCTTCACCCACAGGTCTGTCTACATCAAGCACCAACGGGTTCATACTGGAGAGAAGCCCTTCTCCTGCTCCATCTGCGGGAGGTGCTTTTCCCAGAAGTCCCCTTTGGTAACCCACCAGCGCACTCACACAGGGGAGAAGCCATATGCCTGCGGCGACTGTGGCAAGTGTTTCTCCCAGAAGGGGCACCTGGTGACGCATCAAAGGATCCACACCGGAGAAAAACCGTTTGTCTGTTCTGAGTGCGGCATCGGCTTCAACACACACTCCAGCCTCGTCTTTCACCTCCGCCTTCACACCGGCGAGAAACCTTTCCCCTGTGCAGACTGCGGCAAGAGCTACACCAACAAGTCACAGCTGGTCAAACACCAGAAGGTCCACTCAGGAGTGAAGCCATTCACCTGCTCGGAGTGCGGCAAGTCCTTCACCCAGAAGGCCGACTTCCTGGTTCACCAGCGGGTTCACACAGGAGAGAAGCCCTACCCATGCTTAGAATGTGGAAAACGATTCAGCATCCACCAGAACCTGGTCCTTCACCAGAGGATCCATACTGGCGAGAAACTCTACTCCTGTTCAGAATGTGGCAGAGGCTTCGCCCGCAAGGCCGACCTCATTGTTCACCAACGTATTCACACCGGTGAGAAACCATTCACCTGCACAGAGTGCGGCAAGAGCTTCAGCCTCCATCAGAACCTCATCCTCCATCAAAGAGTCCACACAGGGGAGAAACCCTTCCTCTGTTCCCAGTGCGGCAAGAGCTTCAGACAAAAGTGTACACTCAACCGCCACGTTCGGATCCACCAAGGACAGCAACGCTCTGCTAGGTGTAAAAAGTCATGATGGACAAACCACTTCCACTGAGCTTTCACCTTTCACCATCTCTGGAACCTCCCCAGATATTCTGTAGCCATACCTCTAACTGCCCGCTAGGTGTGTCAGTTTTTTTGTAGCCACTTTTCCTCACAAGTCATAGCTGAGCATGTCTAAGTCCAAAGTTCATGAGAGGCAATGGGTCTTCTCTCTTTTCCAGCTCTGTGGCTCCATGGGCAGATACCCAGTCCAGAAGGTTCTCTTTCATTACCAGGAAAGGTGAAGGTGGATTGATTTTCTGTTACTATGGAGATAACCACTCAGATGTGTTTAGAGGTTGGATCCAAAATTTCCCAAAAATGAATGACTCGGCTAGAAGTGGAGGCAGAAATATTGGCCATTGTAGTGTTTGTCGAGGTGCAGAGGATTGGTGGACTCCAGTAGTCGGATTGGCCAGTGTATGAAAAATCACCAAATCCGGATGTGTGGAGCGTCTCTCAGCTAAGCTCTTCCACTGACTATCTTCTTTAGTTCTTCTGTGACTTTATCCTCCCACAATGCATCTCTTTCCTCACTCCTCTCATGGAGATGTTGAGGTTGTGTCTGCCATGTTGGCATTTCTACAAGTCCTGCTAACAAGGGAGGCAAAGCTCTATTGTAGGAGAAGCCCACCCAAAGTTGATATGTAAATGTCTCTTCTGTCGGGGTGGAGGTGACTCTGGTGCAGAAATATCAGCTCCGGGTTCTCAGGTCCACCATGGCCATCACAAGGGTCCTGAGCTCCATGTTGGATGTTTAGATTAAGGAGAAAGTGGTGGGAGTAGCAGGAACACCCCTGAGGTTGGCGAGGTCTATGGTGGCAGGAAGATCTTATTCCTTGAATGTGACTCCTCCCCTTCCATGTGACACCTTTGGTGATTGGCCTAGAGCGGTTTCAGCACTGTGTCACCTCCACAAGGTTCTCTCCCATCATTTTTGGTGGATGGATGGACTGCATGGGAAACCAATAAACATCCAATCCGGAGCAGACTTCCTGCGTGATTAGAACTGGCAGCAGGCGGTCTCGTAATTCTGGACTGATATTGACTCTTCCAGGATGGTGGAAATCTTCTGACCTCTATGATGGATATGTAGATGATGAGTATGAAGTTGTTAATAAATAGATGACATGATGATGATGATCTCTTCTGTCATTCAGGGATCTTTAGATGATACATTGTTACTGCTCCTCCTCATGATGTGATGTAAATAAAACACAAAATGAAGTCTGGAGATGAAAGGAGACATTTGTGGGGGTGATGGGGCCATAGACCATGAAAATGAAGGTTAGGGAGACATCTGTCCAAACCCTCTCCCTTCCCCCCGAACTTCCTCCCTCTTCATAGTCATCCAGGAATACCTACAGTACATTCTACCAGAAGCCGGAGATCTTCTACAGAGGTCCAACTCTACATCCCTCAGGCTGGCCTCAGATTTATTTAGTACAGTTTACATACAGTATGTTCCTATCAGTCCCCGTCCCAGAGGAGCTTACAATCTAAAGTCCCCATCCCATATACATACTAGGACCATATTACACAGGTACCAGTTCACCTCCCAGCATGTCTCTGGTGTGTGCCTTCATATGGACAACCCAGCGTTGGACTAGAAGGCCCATCATCACGACCTCTGAGGTGGCTGTGAACGGCTCGGCCTCACAATCTGATTGGTCTTTGATGGGTCTGTCAGGTACCCCAGTGTTTGCCGCGATCGTGCGCGAGTCTGCACATGCGCGGTGTGCCCGGCTGCATTAGCGTGCGAGCATTGGGACCAGGGCACCCGCAATTGCAGCGGCGCTCGCACATGCGCACTCGCGATTGCGGGCACCAGACTGGCACCAATCAGGGCGCCCTATTTAAAACAGGTTAGGACTGCATTGAATTGCCGTATGGTCTTACCTGTTTCCTGAGTTCCTGACCCTGATTTGCTGTCTGTCTCCTGCTCTGATCCCTGGCTTGTCTGACCATTCTCCTGCTTAACCCTGCACGTTCTGATCTCCTGTTAACGAACCCGGCTTGTGACCTGTTTATCCCTCTGCCTGCTGATTTTGTACTACGCCGCCACCACTGTTACCGACCCGGCCTGCCTGACGCTGCTCTTGTTACCTCCTCACATCAGACTCTCACCTGCTATACACCTCCAGCGGTGCTTCTACCACAGCTGGGTGAACGCAGGGGCCGCAACCCTGTCTCGGCCTGCTCCAAGTCCATCCCCACCATCAGGGGACCTGGTGAACAAGCAGGTCGGAGCTTAGATTCCGCACCTTGGGGGAGTCCGGTCTGTGGAGTGCTAGAGGCTACCACTGTAGGATCACTGACAGAACCATACGGCCATGTCAGAGTCTGGAGGAGGACCTTCACCCTGGGAAGAAATGTGCCAACATCTTGCGGCACTCACATGAGCGGTGAAGACCCTGGAAGAAGGATACAAGCACTTGGAGGGACAGGTTCAGAGCTTGGCCGCACCAGCATCCACAACATCGGGCACAGTGGGAATGCCTCCTGCCATGGGTTCAGCAGGATCTTCCACTGGAGCAGCATTTACCATTCCTCTGCCAGAACCAAGAGTACCGACCCCTGAGCGGTTCAATGGGAAGTTCAGGGCCTTCCAAAACTCCTGCCAGCTGTACTTTGACCTGCAACCCCAGACCTTCTCTTCTGAATCGGTGAAGGTGGGATTTGTTATATCCCCGTTGCAGGGTGAACCCCAGGGATGGGCTCATTGCCTGATGGAGGCCCACCACCCACATTTGAACACTGTAGCCACCTTCTTTAAGGCAATGGCACAGCTGTACGACGACCTGCATCAAGCTGCCTTGGCTGAGGCAGCCCTCTATTCCCTACAACAGGGACGCCGGGCTGCGGAGGACTATGCTGCTGAGTTCAGGCGCTGGAGTGGAGATACACAATGGAAAGACGCAGCCTTACGCCACCAATTCCGGTTGGGACTGTCAGAACCGCTGAAGGATGAGTTGGCGAGAATAGGAGTCTCTGACTCCTTGGAGGGCCTAATAGATCACTGCATCCAAATCGATCGCCGACTGCAGGAAAGGAGACGGGAGGTCCAGCCAGGGGCAGAGAACCTCATGGATGCTGTCAAGAGTATCAGTCCTGCCAAGGGTCAGTGTTGACAATCGGAGCCCAGAGCCGTCAGAGGGAGCCGAGCCCATGCAACTCGGCTTGATGCGGCCTTCTCTTTCTACTGAGGAACGACAGAGGCGTTAGGCAAACAACCTGTGTCTGTACTGCGGAGCTGCGGGTCATATGGTGCGTTCCTTTCCGGAGAAATACTGTAAGTCCTCCTCTATTTCTTCTAATATATCTACTGTGTGCACAGGCAACCCCACTCACTTGGCTGTACCTGTGTCTTTTCAGCTCCCCAGAGGAAGCACACAGGTGACGGCTATTATTGACTCCGGGGCATGTAGCTGTTTTGTCGATCTCGGTTTCGCTACCCAGCATCAGATACCGTTACTCACCAAAGAACATGGGTTGAATATTTTCTTGCTGGATGGGTCTCAAATAAAATCAGGGATGGTAGATCGGGAGACCCCTCCTATACACACCACGGTGGAGGGACATCACCAGGAGCTCCTCCGTTTGGACGCCATCGCGTCTCCCCTATTTTCAGTTATTCTGGGGCTCCCCTGGATACGAGCTCACGACCCCCAAATTGACTGGAAGACCGGGTCAGTCCAGTTCCACTGACGATACTGTCAGGAACATTGTTTATCCAAGTTATCACTAGATACACCGGACCTATTAGCTGTAAGCCCTGATGCTGAGTTAGCCCAAATTGTGCCTGCGGCCTACCACCTATTCTTGGATGTGTTTAGTCCATGGGGGGCAGAGGTCCTTCCCCCACATCAGGCATATGATTGCCCCATTGATCTGCTTCCAGGCTCTGAAATCCCTTTCGGACGCATTTTCCCACTATCAGAACGGGAACTAGGGGCACTAAAAGAAAACATTGATGAGAGCTTTCGGAAGGGATTTATCCGTCCTTCCACATCACCGGCCAGGGCAGGGATTTCCTTTGTCGAGAAAAAGGACCGATCCCTGAGACCTTGTGTTGACTACAGGGACCTCAATAAGATTACAGTCAAAAACCGCTACCCCCTTCCTTTGGTCCCAGAGCTATTTCAGAGGTTGAAGACAGCATCTGTTCTGTTGGAGCATAGGGAGGTCTCTAGGCAGAGAGAGACAGTCCCAGAAAATAGACTGCCAGAATCAGAAGAAACCTCATATGTTACGCGAGCTGGCAGAACAATCAGAAAGCCGGCTCACCTCAAGGATTATATCTAATTTATAGCTATGTTCTACTTCACCATTTTGTGTTTTGGCCATCCCTTCAAGATGACAGTCGATAGGATCTGTAGAGTTTTATCTTCCGCTGTGCAGGTCTGTATTTGTTTCAGTCTGTCTTTTGAGACAGACAGATATTTACACATATTGATGCTTTCAATGTCTCTTTCTTCTTCATTTGTGATGGGTAAGTAAGCTCTGCTTAGGGCATCTGCAATCAGTAAATCCTTCCCTGGACAGTAACAAATGTTAAAATCATATTTCTGAAGCCTTAACAGCATACGCTGCAGTCTTTTTGGGGCATTCAGTAGTGGCTTCTTTGTAATACTTTCTATAGGCTTGTGATCTGAATGCACCACCACTTGTCGACCGTAGGTGTACTGGTGAAATTTCTCTAACCCAAATACTACCGCTAGTAGTTCCTTCTCGATTTGAGCATATCCTTGCTCTGTTAGAGTTAACGCTCTGCTTGCATATGTGATTGCTGTTTATCCTGCATTAGTGTGACTCCAAGGCCGGTTTCTGAGGCATCACATTGTACTACCACTGCTTGATCTGGATCAAAATATTTTAGCGTTGCTGCATCTGCAATAGCATTTTTCACTGACTGAAAAGCAGTTTCATGGCTTTCTGTCCTTTCCCAGAGTACGTCTTTGTGAGTTAGCTGTCTCAGTGGCTCACACATGT